CAGAACCTTCAGGTCAAAATACGCCGCGAAGTGTCTAGGGCCCAGTATAAAGGGTGAATAAGTTCGCGGGACATCGGAGGGTCCTTATATACCTGCGGTACCCTCTCCCCAAAGTCATTAGCAAAATCGTCCGTTAGGTCAGGCGGGAAATTTTCGCGGGAGATTTTCGCGGGAGATTTCCGATATCGTAACACGGTATAATTTATCAATTTTCACAATTTTGTTATAAATTTATACTTCCGACAATTTGTTATAACATTGCATATAACAATTTATACGTTTTTACAATATTCTTCAATGGAAACATAGGTTTTAGCGTTCTCGTTACTTACTCGTGGTTAAATTAATTTCGTAGGGATTAAAAATCAGGTTGACCTGTGGTCGTAGATTAAAAATAGTGATAGTACAGCTAAAATTATCGTGTTAAATAATTCTTTTCCTACGAATCAAAAATGTATTCAACGTTTGTTTGTTATAATATCGTGAAATGAATTATATTACACATTTTCTCTATTCACACTGAATTTAAAGATTATAACGATTAAAAATCAAGTTGACCTGTGGTCATTTATCAAGAATAATCATAATAAAGCTGAAATTATTGTGTTAAATAATTTTTTTAATACGAATTAGGAATTTATTCAACGTTTGCTTGTTACTACTTGTTACAGTATACTGTCTCGCAATGTAAATTTAAGTAAATTAGGTTGAACTGCACAGAAAATGCACAGAACTGCACAAATAATTTATTTCATGGTATTGTAACAAGCAAACGTTGAATACATTTTTCATTCGTGTAAGAAGAATTATTTAACACGATAAATTTAGCTGTACTATGGTTATTTTTAATCTACGACCACAGGTCAACCTGATTTTTAATCCCTACGAAATTAATTTAACCACGAGTAAGTAACGAGAACGCTAAAACCTATGTTTCCATTGAAGAATATTGTAAAAACGTATAAATTGTTATATGCAATGTTATAACAAATTGTCGGAAGTATAAATTTTTAATAAAATTGTGAAAATTGATAAATTATACCGTGTTACGATATCGGAAATCTCCCGCGAAAATCTCCCGCGAAAATTTCCCGCCTGACCTAACCGACGATTTTGCTAATGACTTTGGGGAGAGGGTACCGCAGGTATATAAGGACCCGCCGATGTCCCGCGAAATCATTTACCCTTTATACTGGGCCCTAGACACTTCGCGGCGTATTTTGACCTGAAGGTTCTGAGATGTGAATAGAGTGGTCGGGGGCTACTAGCTAGTCTATGTCCACCCTGTACACACTCAGCCTTCTTGTAACACTTGTATACATTAGAATCAATTAGAATTTCTATTACTAATTATTAAACAAATTTTAACAATTACCGGCACTCGCTAGGCACGTAATATCAGACTTTAAATACTCGACTTCGAACTTCGGTTTAGTCATAATTCTATTAATGTTATAATAACGTATAATTTATTAATTTTCACAATTTTATTATTAATTTATACTTCCAAAAATTTGTTAAAACATTACATATTATTATTTATACATTTTTGCAAGTTTCTTTGACAAATAAGTACGTTTCAACGATCTTATTACTTTCTCGTTGTGAAATCAAGTTCGGAGGATTAAAAATCAGGTTGACCCTTGGTCGTAAATTTAAAATAGCCATAGTGAAGGTGAAATTATTATTTTAAATAAATGTTTCTATACGAATTAAGAATCTATTCAACGTTTGTTTGTTGCAATACCGTGAAATAAATTGTATTATATATTTTCTCAGTTTAGACTGAATTTAAAGTTCGTAAGGATTAGAAATCAGGTTGACCTGTGGTCGTAGATTAAAAATAGCCATAGTGAAGGTAAAATTATTACGTTAAATAATTGTTTTTATACGAATTAAATATTGATTCAACGTTTATTTGTTGCAATACCGTGAAATAAATTGTATTATATATTTTTTCTGTTTACACTAAATTTAAAGTTCTGTTTACATGTTATAACAATTAGAATGTAGACGTTTTGCCGTTTCACGGTTTTTCCTCTGTTAATTATGTGTTTATAAATCATTTCAAACTAAAGCAGCACCATGCCCACCCTTAATTAAACCGTCTCAGTAGTTTACCGTAATTAATAATCTATTTTCGGAATTTATACGAGAATTTTTGAATTTTAGTAAATACTAGAGTCAGTGCATCGCGTATTGAAATAATAGCTTCATCCCTAGTTCGTTTATTATTGAATATTTTTACGCGTTTAACTTATGCTTCTCCCCAATTCTCGTCGCGTATTTTATTCAAATTTTCTTATATTCTAGAATCGAAAAAGATACGAATTCGCGTTTTTTCTGGTGATTCTTTCAATTTTTCAATTGCATTACGCATTATTGCAATAATTTCTATCGTTACATTTAATTCTAATTGTTTAGCAGCTTTTCTGCTGCTATCGACCCTACATTTTTTTTTTTCTTACGTGGAGGTAGGCCGACTCTATGTGATAAACAATTGGCAACCAAACGGTGGCTCGCTAAAGCGATATATTATGAAATTAAATTAATCACTCAATAAGTTTTAACGTTAGATTGTTTCCTCGATATGGCCATGGTGGTCATCAGTGACTGGAGTGCCTCAAATGTTTAGAATAATTAAAATAAAATAAATGTTGTCAACTAAAAATTTGGAACGTCATAGCTAGCTAGACATTATTTTCAATTGAAAAAAAAAAATTATTAAGCATAATACTATAATCCTATGCTTAAAATGTATTTTCTTGTGGCCGCCTGACAGCAACCTGTAAATCTGGTGCGACAGTGACTGTGTTAATAAGTAAATGTTGTTCAAATTATATCGTGTTTGATATCATATTCATCAGAAAAATCTTATCAATGTGTTAAAAAAAATTCCAGATGGAAAAAAGTAAAATTTAAGAAATTATATTTTTCTATTGTGATTTGTCGAGCCGTGAAATCGCGTAAAGGAAACCGACTGGTGTAGCGTTATACGCTGGACTGACTGCGAGAGAGATAACATGGGCGCAGCAATAACACAGACCTAGGCGTAGGACCATCTATACTGTCACTTGTAGAATCCAAACTTACTGACTCTGGTAGAGAATTTACTGTATTCTCAAAATTTATATAAATTTGCACAAAAATCCGCAGTCCAATAATTATCGAGGAAAACTGTATATAAATAATTCACGTACTCTACAGGACCTTTCTCATTTATCTTTTCATCCCCCATAGAAACCTGAATTCCCTTCTCCTTTCGTTTCTCTTTGATCTTCTCGGGATGGTGTGGCCTAACATCCCCCAATCCTCCTATACTTGTCACCAAATTCACCAAACTCGACGACGAGAACGTCGACAGTCTTCTCGTTAACAATTCACGCATCGATCCAGACTTCATTCGATTGTAGATCCTATCTTCTATCTCGGAAATCGAGGCCACCCTCTTCGCAGGCGTCTGTGTTCAACAAATTACCAACACTGTGACAACGTCATTTCATCTATTCGTCGATTCCACGTTAGTTCGTTCTTCTAGCAATAATATCGACTTTTAGTGGGTTTTTTTCAAGCTGACCTTCAGCGTTTCGATCAAAAGTGGAACCTGCTTCCCACTATCGCTCTTCAGACTCGTTAAACTGCTCCACCTGGTTTTCGCAGGCATTCTAATAATGTCGCTGCAACGACGATGCGACACCACTATCGCATGCAGCTTCCGTTCCTCCCTCTGGCGCTCCCTTTCCGCGCGAACCTCTTCCGGTTTCTTCACGTGCCATTCGACCGGGTGCATCATCGTCATACCGGCGATGCAGTTCAAACTCATGGCACCTGTCATCAGTGCTGTTCCTGTGAAATTGTTGGAAAAGTAACTAATTACAACGACACTATTTCTTACACCGATTTTACTGAAAAATGTGAAAATGTTAAATAGTAACATTAGTACGGTTTTTAGGTCATTTTTCACCCATTGCCTGTATATTTCTTTAACAACTTTTGCTGTTATCGAGTTTATTGTGCCTTAATATTGTATTGCAAGTTAGAGAAATTGTTACATATAAAGTCTTTGGGTCTAAAATAAGGTTACTACAGGGAAACTCTTACATTCGCGGAGATAAACGGAGAAACTGTGAATAGCAGGGAACGCTGTACGTTAGAAAATACTTATGGTACAACTTTATTTACACATTAACAAAAATAACTAATAATAAAGTATTAAAATTTGACTAATAATGAAATAAAATAATAGAATCATAACAATAAAAGTTATGTGATAGTGATATGATACCAGAGATGATATGAAACGATGTGAATGAAGCATAGGTGATGCGGTGTTACACTATTATTGATGTTGAAAGATTATCTGCTTCAGGTGATGAATTTCAAAATTTAAGAATTTAAGAATTTTCTATTTAATTTTTTCAAACCGTACACACAGAGGTTTCACTGTATTATAGAATATAAAAAATAGTAATTTACACTTGCATGCTTTACTTTTCCAAAAGCAACTTTTTTCACTCATCAAGCTCACCTCGAAATCCGTACATCTTCATCATTTTCTCGATGCATATAGGATACGCAATTCCCCCTAATCCAACGATTACTTGTGCCGCGCTCATTACCTAAACACCAAGAATTTCTCTAAAAAATTAAGAATATAAGTAAGTAAATATGTCGAAGATTGCCGGCCATCGGCCCCTTGTCTACGTACTGGCGCTCTTTTCTTCACGAAGTAGGCGTTGAAGTTTGTGTTACAGATCGTCACGATCAGACCAAGGCCCATTCCTTGGAGGAAATTTAAGAATGCCATTTCGTAGACGTTCCTGACGAAAGCTAGACAAACGTTTGGCACCGAGAACAGCACTGCACCGAAAACACCCACTGGCCTCATCGAATATTTCTTTAGCAGAGTGTTCGTCATTAAACCTGTAGCAAAATTTTCACAATTTCAATTTAATTTCATTCACAGTGGGACTATTTATTTTCCACCTGATCGTTAAACGTCTACACTTTATTTTTTTAAGTTTCAGTCGTTTTGTATCATAATTCATCCTTTATGAATAGGATTGCTGTATTTTTTCATCACAAAACTGGAACAGATTTCCCCGCACCTTAGAGCTCTTTAAAGATCAAGAAATCGGGAAACCACGACGTATAGCAACCCTATTTATAACTAAAACAAACCTACTTCGTCGTATTTCTTTAAATCAAATTTCTGTTCGACTAAAGTCCTTCTTGTCTTAAAATCTCGTGTCCCAAAGAGTTAGACAACAGTTTCAGCGTAATCTTCGGTTGCAAATGAGTTTTATCATCAATTATGTAGTATCGGGGCCTCCGTACCCAAATAGGAAACCGACAAGGGACAATAGAGAGGGAGTGGTTGGCGTAGCGCGCAAAGCCTCGTTCGACTAAAGTCCTTCTTGTCTTAAAATCTCGTGTCCCAAAGAGTTAGACAACAGTTTCAGCGTGATCTTCGGTTGCAAATGATTTTTATCATCAATTATGTAGTATCGGGGCCTCCGTACCCAAATAGGAAACCGACAAGGGACAATACAGAGGGAGTGGTTGGCGTAGCGCGCAAAGCCTCGGCTTGCTTAGCCGAATGTCCCGGGTTCGATTCCCGTTGGGTCCCTCAATATTTTTCCGTCGTCGGTTCCTACAATTATTTGACTATTTTCATTGTACGTGTACTGTTATCATTGTGAAACGGTATTATCAACACCAAGAATGAATGTCACGCGCGCTTAAAGGTATACTAAAACTTCTAACAATAAGCAGATACGTAGTAGAAAATTATTCAATGACACGTTATCACTGTTATGTTCTTTCGTGAAAACACACACGAGAAGTAAACGTAGCCACACATCTCCACTGCGTGCCACACAATTATAGCAAACAGATTGTACTATTTTCAGACTCTATTTACCGTTACGTTTGACAATTACACAATTATCAGAGAATCTTCGCTTTGAATATTTTCCAATTAAAAACCCCCGAGATTCGTGCTATTCTATTTTATTCGAGCGTTTAAGTTAAAAAAAAAAAAACATCCTCTTGGAAGCAAAAGTGAATTTTGGCAAACTTTCAATTACCAAGGATCAACTCGACGCTGTGAATTACAACTTGCCATTTCATTTGTATGTGCAGACGTGATTTGCATTTTCTGCCGTCTAGATCTTCTCGTGTCAAACAAGCGTGAGTTGTGCTTAAGCACGATTCCACGAGTGAAATTATAATATCTAGTGAAACTGTTCTTCGAATTATTCACTTCAATTCGAAATATTATTTATTCGATGCTTTCCACTGTCTGTCGATATTTATTATTTATCGTAAGTAGAACATCGTTGATTTTCGTTTTAAACATTTTTTATATCGAACCGAACACACGTCGAAGCTGACGAAGATAAATCCAACGAAATATTTGGGGAAAAATGGAAAAACTCACCAGCAATGGAGAACGTAACCATAAAAACCGAATTAAAAAGCGTCATCGCTGTTCCAGCCTGACCAGTCGCTTCAAGAAAGTCTCCAAATATTATTGCAAACGACGAGGTTGGTCCGAATGTTGTAATCTATTCAGACAACCAGATAAATGCTATAAAAATCTTGGCAATAAAATAGATAACAACGAGACGATAACTATAAACTGTTCCGTTAACTCGATATTTTCCAAACCTTGAAGAAACGCAAGAACAAGCTCGCTAATCAAAATAAGCTGAGAAAATTCGTTTCTACAAATTGCAAGATGGTTCAACTAAAAATAAAAAGTATCAGTGCAAACAACACGGGATATCTTGAATCTACGAAACGACATTTGCATACTAACGAACACTACGATCATGGCGAAAGCAACCATCCACCCCCAACCACCATCCGGTGCTAAATCCTCTAACGTGATCTCTTCATCGTCATCCTCGTCGCAGCCTTCTTCTTTGTACGACAAAAACACGTTATTTCGAAGTTTCTTCTCGTCGTCGATGAAATTGTTCGTGGTTGTTCCCATTGTTGTCGTTCCATTGCTTTTAGCTACCGTCATATTCTTCTTAAGTCTACACACATGTCGCGAAACATCGGTGAAACAGTCTAATTTATCGTGCGAGTGAAAACGTAAAAGCGAATTTCAACATCGATCTCCCTTTAATCCTCTCAATTTTCTCACGAGTAATTTTGCCAATTAACGAGCATTCGCAATCGAATCGTCGTTGCGTGTAAACGTTTCCTTTTTTTCAACGAAAACACACAGATAAGAGAAAAAGAAACTCTTTTGGCCGAATCGCGGAAACACAATCGGGATTAAAGTTTCTCGAATGATTCGGGTATTTGAAATTATGTAAACGATTGAGACCTTACCAGGCGGGGAGAAACGGTCTCTTTCACTCGATGGAAAGAAACTCCGGTCGCAAATTAATAAACGTTATTGCCGTACGTCACACACGGCTGGATCGTTTTTGACTGAGCGGAACATGGTACAGATGATTTCGAAGACTTTTCTTATCTATGTACACAATGTCACCGTACTAAATACCTATCCTTAAGTAGAATGAAATATTGCTACCGCAGCATCTGGAATTAGGAAATCATTTTGAAGGGAAAAATCGTCGGATTGTAAATAGAATTCGTAACGCTGCGTATATGCCGTTGATCGAATCGCGGAGAGATAATAACAAGGAAACAATAATAATATTCGTTTTCACGCACGAACAAGCCGCCATTGTCGCGTTACACTTTATCTTGCACGAATAAAAGAGGAATAATGGAAAAATAAACTTCCTCGATATTTCGTTTCGATGCACCTCTCGCCGCAGGATTTATCTTTCGCGGTGCGTTTCAGGCGATTTACATAATTGTTCTTCCTACTTCTCTCGAGATATTGCGTGCAGTAATAAAATTGCAGCGCAATCGAAATATAAGAGATATTAGGAAACATTTACGTGACAGAAGAATTAAAAAAAAAAACGGCCATGAATTGAAAATTTAACACGATCATACAGTCGAAACAAAAAGAAATATGAAAAGAATTAGGAAAGAGAAAATTAAATTACGAAAATATGAAGAAATTCGAATTTTATTTTAAACATTACTGCCATAAATTAAGAAGTTAAATCGATCGCTATATCAAGTATCCAGCCGGTTACTAAAATTGCATTTACGCATCAAAGGTTGTCTACATTTAGGCGTGCGTTTTTCGGAGTCCACAGCTTAATACTCTCCACCCTCTACCTTTTCGTGCGAATCTTTTCACCTACAGACAGCAAGCCCCGCGTATTTTGTTATTCATAAAACAGCAACGAAAATCAACGACACACCACTGGAATATTTATTAATTATAACTGCTCCACCCTATATAAAGTGCGTTATCTGGTGCATAGATACGAATATCCCTTCCAGCGTGCAATATTTATTCAACAGATTTATTTTCTGAAAAGCCTAGTTTTAAAAGATTACACAAACATTGCAGCTGGTGTGATCGTCAACTTTTCCTTGAACGTTTTCAAAATAATCGAAACAAAATGTAGAGGACTCGTCAATGAGTCAAACGGATTCGAACACTTTGTTGTTAACTTCGACGCTTTTTTTCCCACGTTCCGTTAAGTTCAACGCACCAAGTATCGTCGTTGAATCTAACACGACATTTACTCACGCTACTAATAAATACTATATACATTTCCCGTCGCTTTTAACAATGTAATTAACGCGTTCCGAATGCGTTTATCACGTTTCAACGTGATAAAATGGAGCACATATAGCCTTCAATAACGTGATACATCGACTGTACAAAAATGCATTAATTGCTCGTATGGTAACAGGAACATTTTCATCGTTCCAAATCTTCTTTTCTCCCCAAATATTCGATTTTCGACAATTACCGAAATTCTCGACACTTCGATCGGTGCAATTAATTGGCGTTGTTCTTCGAGATGTTATTAAAAATGCAGAAACGTCGATTGTGATTCGAACTACATTTACGACGCGAGAAAGAAAAATTTGCTTTCAAACCGCAGCTAGTTTATACCGCAAGTAATTTAAACCATTGGCAAAAAGTATTCTTAGCGGTCGTGTTAATTAATCCATGTGACGTTCGGTTACACCTCAAGTCAATAATGAACAATAGAACTGACTGAAATATTCATTTCGATTTTTCATTTTATTTAAATATCAACGTAAATTATTCCAGCTCTGTGTCAAGGGCAAACACGAAGATTTGCTTGTAATTACGAATATCAGGAAGACACCTGTCAATTGTAGAAGCAAGAAAATTCTGCTTCCGATCACAGGTAGCGGATTATTTGCCTGTGTTATCGTTTTTAATGTAACATTTGCAGTAGGCTTCGCGAGATACAATACGATAAGAGTAATAAGGAATAAAAAGATAATTGATAAATTCTCGATATCGTGTTAGTGCAAAGCTTTCCTTCGGCGTAATTCAATGATACAGATACTCTTCACGTTCGATCGTGTTGAAATCCCCGATGGAATTTCACGAAGACACACGATCATCGGGATATGAAATTCGGATAATACCGCGATTATGCAAAAATTACTTACATGAAACCGTTAAAATTATCCTTGAAATAAATCAAATCATAGGTAATCAGACTAGCGTCGCTACCGACAATGGCAATTACGCTGAATCTGTCCATTCTACGAAAATCGAGTGTCCTTTATCCCGAAAACGGAATTGCAAGAAAGTAACTCTCGAAAATTGTAAGAAAGTAATTCCTCGAGAAAAAAAAAGAACAAGAAGCGGCAGGATCGTCATCGTTATCACCAAGAAAAGCGACACGCTGGTATCTCGATCTTCATCTCAGCGTTAAACCGATTCAGTTCTCGATCTAAATCTGCGAGCAAGTAAATGGCCGCTGATCCAAGTAAAATACGATTTCGACATTGACACGATTTTTCCTAACAACGAAGCTTCTCAGGCCAACTTATGAATATCGCCAGCAATGGACGCACATTCAACGCGTCGCGAAAGTCCTGTGCGATTTCGTCACGACGCGTTCACTATCACACTTTTAGGTGTGCACGAGGCAACGATAGCGTTTGTCCCGTCACTGGGCATAGCAGAAGGTCAGCGATAAAACGGGACGATTCCGGTAGGAATTTCGTTGGGAAAAGGTCGACACGGTGATCGTATGGCGATGAAACGTGCGCGAAACGCGACGGGATAAACGCGCGATGGCTATTGATCATAGTCGAATGAGAGTAACGAGATATCGGTGTAATCTCTGGTGTCTCCTCCGCTTCGCGCTTTCTTTCCTCCTCGGTGGTCGAACGACCCTCCTCCGGCTTGTTCGCGGCACACGGACCCAAGATAAACAAGCCGACAGAGAGAAAAAAGACAGCCGCGGCTTCGATGCGGCGTCATTTCAAGCCGTGGACGCGACATTTCACGTCCGAATGACACACGCACACACGCACACGCGCACTCTGTTGTTTTATCGAATCAGGGAAACGCGAGAGGTGAAATCGGGAAAGTTCAGAGAACATCCAGCATTTCCCCCGGCTGCGAAAATACATTCGATCTCCACTCTGTTCTGCCTGGTCGAGTTGGATATTTTTCGCAAAAACTCCGCTCTGCGCCGATAACCGCCATGTTGATAGTGAAATATCAAACAGCTGTGGATGTGCGTATACGTGTTGGAGAAGTCGAGCGCGCTTATTGAGTCATGTCTGCTCGTTGCCACCGACTGTCATTGTAAGTAAACACTCTTCTTCTTCGTTTTCACGCTGATCATTCGAGACGCGTGTGTTTTCGAAGTGTAACCGGGGGCGGAAGTCGGTGATACCAGTCGACTGTTTCAGTGCCGAGTGATTTTTCCAACTTTGGTGTCTTCAGGTTTCGAATATCGTTCGTTTTCAAGTTTTCGAATGTCAAATCTGCAATTCTTTCATCTTACTTTTCAAGTTCCAATTTCAAACTGCAAAGCAGCGAAATTCAACGTTGAAATCTTCGAATCTCGTGTTTGACTGACTTGATCTTCGATTACACTCATTTCCAAACGACAGAAAGAAAACTTGGACGTTTCATTAATTACTAGAAATCATGTTCGACCTTTCGACAGACTTGCACACGATTATCACAGTAAATGAGAGTTCATTCATACGGCACTCGGCAATATTCCGAGCGTCTTCGTTACTAGACGCAACTGTAGAATTATTCTGTCATCGAGAATGTAAAATTCGACACGCTCAGAGTATACACATTTCGTGAATCATTTTATCGCACTGTTACGAAACTTTTTTAACAAACAAAAGGCGTAAAGTGCAAATTCAAATTATATTGGCAGAGCTTGAAGAAACCTCCGATAACGTGGCTAATGTTTATTAAACATTCACCGTAAACATAAAACAAAGTTATCGAAAAATATTATCATAGCATTTAATTACCAACTAAAATAAACGATAATCGAAACGAATGATGTAAGACTGTTCGAATTTTCTTCTTTTTTTCTACAAAACACTTGTGAACTCGAAATTTCCCCCTGCACGACAGTTTTATCTCTCGCGATCAGCATGAGAGAAAAATATTTAACCGTTGTCTGTAATTTTGAAAAATCCACGTTACTCTCCACTTACACCACTTAACACTATCAGTCCGTTGCTTCTTCAGTTTCACCTTAAACGTTCTCACCTTGATTAATGCAGCACAAACGCAAGAAGCGCGAAGCATTAACCTCTTAGGCACATTTATTAGCACCTTTTGCATGAAATTAAACGTAATGAAATTCATCAATAGATGAATCATTTCTGTTTACTTAAAATGGAGAAGCATTAACCATGTCAGAATTGTTGTTTCTTTAAACGACGAATCGGCATCGATGAATAGCCTAAAGCGCTGATTTTTCACGAAGAAAATATCGTTATTTTTCTAAATCAGTCAAAACTGTGTATTTTTTGTCAAATTGGCGAAAAACATAATATAAATTCTTTTCTACTAATTATTTTATATGTTCCCCGAGATAAAAAAGGCTAAAAATCGCTGATCTACAGTTTTCCCTTATCTCCTCTCCAATTTGCACAGAAATTCGAAAAGAAACACTTGCGGCGCACAGTGTTTAAATTGTCACACATGATCGAAAGCGATTCTGAAAAAGTTCAGACACTCGATCGCACGTGTTGAACGACACGCTCCTAAGAAATCGTTCGATCTGTTGGAGAAACGAAGTGTTATTATTCCTTCGTCGCTTGGTGTTTTTCCGTTAAAGAGAGAAAACGACGTGCAACTAGTCTCGTTCACCGGAACTGCCACCGTTACGTTGACAACGTAATTTCTATTATCTGATAATAATTCACCTAGCAGGAAAAAAGTCATTTGCGAGACGACTGGACAGAGAGTGCAACTGTCCGGAGAACCTCTGGAGCACCGAAATTATGTAAATTTAACGGGAAAACACGGTAAAATCGAAGTCTCGCGAGAAAGATTTTTCACTCAAGTTCACGATGTTGTACGTGATAAATTGAAAAAGAGAACGTAACACGTATTTTTCCACGAGCTGTCGGAACAAAGAGGGGCAAACAAGGAAGGAATCGGTTCACCGTGGTGTGCCAATGGCTCGTCGGTGCTCCTCCTAACCGAAGAAACAAGAAGTGAGGGGAATACCGAGCCGGTGTGCGGATTACACATCGTGTTATTAAGCAGTGAATGAAGAGGCGGTGACCAAACTTTACCTCGCGATGTGTGATAGCCGACGTTCGATCACGAGAAGTTAACCTTTCTGCGAGTATTGCGCGACACTCGTCGAGTACCTGCCAATTCGTGCATCGAACTCGCTCGTCTGTCAGTGTATAGTGCAAACGAGAAGATGACGAGTCCTGCAGACGTGAAGAAGAAAGCGCCTGACGGAGGCTGGGGATGGTTCGTTTGCCTTGGCAGTAGCCTAATCACGGTAACTTGCTTCATCCTCCTAAGAATTCTTTATCTTTTCGTGAAAATTTTCTTGCGTTTCGTACACTTTCGGTGTGCGCTTCTCTTGTCCTATGGAGATTTCGATGTCAACCGTTTATCGCACCGATTCTCGAGCTTTTGGCTTCTTTTTCGAATCTTTGCGTTACTTTTTCTCTGATCTTTCTTTTTACCACGTACGTGCTCGTTATCTGTCCAAATGGAATTCTGAAGTTCCAGAATGAACGTACTCGATTACCTAATCTTGTTTAAGAATAATTATCTTAACTCGTTGAGTATCTGTGCTGATAGTGTGCCAGACTGAACTAAGATAATCTCGATTATAATTTTCACGTAAACGTTACTGTAATTCTATTTAGCGTAATTTCGCGTATTTGGTGAAATTTTATTGTTGAAAAATTAACGAACGGTCCTTTGTAATTTTTCTCAAATTTCTTCCCTCAGCTCTCTTTGAGATCGTTAGACCCCTCGTTCGGACTCCTTTTTCACGATCCCTTGGAAGAACTCGAGATAGACTCGACTGGAACGTCGTTAATAATGAGCATTCTCGATGCTATCGTGAATTTTTCAGGTACTCGAACAAAAACACGACGTGATAAAATTAAACACACAATTGCAATTATTGTAAATTTCACTTTCTCTGCTGTGAAATGTCAATTTTCTGCATTATCCGTACAGAGTGTCCCATTTACAGCGATCCTCGAGAATATCTTCCAAACTGTTGAATGATATTTTTCTGAAACATCTGTTTGGTATTGGTAGCAATTTCGAAGGTATTCTCAAGGGAATATTCGACTTGAATGGGACACTCTGTATAATTGGTACTATATGTTCTTTTTTTCTCTCTCAATTTAGGTCTTTTAATAGGGCCGTTGTTGAAGAAATATTCTTATCGAAAAGTAGCTTTCTTTGGATCCCTCTTAAGCTGCACCGGACTGATACTGACGTCAAGAGCTAATAGCATGTTTCACATTATTTGCACTTACAGTATTTTGGGCGGTATGGACAAGTTTTCACACAAATTCGTACATGATAAGTTCGTGTTTTAACTGAAGAAGATATTCTTTAATCGAAGAACGTCCTCTTTCCTTTCTATTTCATCGTACTTATTAAGTTATAAGTAGCAGTCAGAGCGAAGTAATTGTTTCAAATAGAAAATAGTCTAATTTTATTTCAAATCGTGCCTATAACTATGAAAATAAAATAACTTATTTGTTGCAACGACTTTTCAATATAGTTTTCAAAAATGGTGTTTCATTTGAAGGATTCTGAGAATAGTCGGACTTTATTTTCAAATACTTCATTTACTTTCAGTTTATTCCTAATTAAAATTTTGAACAATTTAGGTATTTACTTTGTTACATATGAACAGTCGTGCTTGAATTAAAACTAAATTTACTTTGCCACATATTCTCAACTTATTTTCGTTGTCAAGAACTATTTCAAATATCAGATATTTCATTTTATGCTTTCAGTTGTTGGAATAAAAATATTTCTACTATTTCTAGGATTTCTGGGAAGCTACTATTTAAAACAGCATTTCAAATATTTTTCTCGAAATTTTACCCAGCTCTGGTTGCAATATTGAACGCATTATGTCGTCCCATAATTTCTTCCCGAAATCGGAAAATATTACAACGGAGAAGCAATGAAATTTTATATAACTTCGAAAAAAGTGAAAAATTGTAGAATTGCAATTTAAAAATATGTTTCAAATATCGACCCAAATTTCGGTATAAAATTCGTCAAGAATTTATGAGACGACCCAATGTTTAACACGCGTCGTTTATTATTACTATATTCCCTTTATTCCAAATATTCTCTATGTATCTATCGCAGGGTTGGGAACCGGATTAGCAATCGCGTCGTCTTTCGTTGCATTGAACACATTTTTCGATAAGAAAAGGGGGCAAGCTGTCGGTTTTTCTATGGCGGGAACAGCTTTGGCGATGATGTTAGTACCTCAGGTGCGAAACGGAACATTTTATTAATACCCTTACAGACACTTTTATTCAATTCTTCGGAATATCCATATATTTAGAATTCTGTTGATTTCCTCGGTTTCTTCTACAGTTCATACATCTTCTTTTGGACTCTTATGGATTCCGCGGAGCGATGTTAGTCGTTGGAGCATGGGCGATGCATTCCGCTGTTGGCGCTTGCTTGTTACGTCCTCTCGAAGTTAAAAATACGAAACCTGTTAAAAAGGTATCCTTACGTCACAATTGAAAAATACAATTGCTTCGTTTCTACTAAAAAATTTTCCTCGATTCATTCGAAATTTAGTTCCCGAAACTAATATTTCAGGTCTATTTTTCTAAATGAGCCACTCAGAAGCCAAAGTGACTAACTCCGTTAAATTAGATTTATTAAATTTCTTTTATTTATGAAAAATGAAGCACCGAGCGTGTGCTTTGATGCTGAAATTGGAAAATTTTGGCTTCTGAGGGACTGAAATATCGATAAATCGAAGGAAACTCATGCCAATGGACGTTATTTCTCTCAGGATGTGAATATTTCATCCGAAATCGACACGCTGTTACAAAGAAATAGCAACGGCGTGATAAAGAAGATAGAAAATGGCGCGGAAGATTTGAAAAACGATACCGCGAAAAATGAGGAAAAGGTCGAGGTGGAAGAAAAATTCAAAGACGAATTCCTCGAGAAGATAAAGGAAACCTTCGATTTGGATCTCCTTAAAGACAGTGTTTATCTGAACGTAATTATAGGTTCGAGCCTGTATTACGTTGCCGAGTCAAACTTCAAATTAATGACGCCCTTTTTCTTAGCTAGTATAGGTAAGTAGTTTTCCGTAGTAGATGTTCAAATAGGTACCGTAGCAAAGGATGTTGTCAAATGTACCGAAATCTTTTTAACAAAGGCAAATTTAAAGCAAACCGAAAAGTTCGAAATTCGATAAAACTAACGATGGAATTGAAACGAACAGGTAAAACGGCAAAATTCTAATTGAACAGGCCTTGAATGAAGTACATAAATGTCATCTAGCATCCTAGCTACGGCACACAGTGGAACGAAACCCGAAGAAACGCGACAAACGATTGAAAAATTGATTATAGAATTTCCGATGCGTTATTGTTTCTTTGACAATATTATATATATATGCAAATAATTTTAGAAAATATAGTACGCTCTCGTACCGTTTATCGCGTTTTTTCGGGTTTCGTTCCACTGTGCAGTATTTTCTAGGATTTCGGTAGACATCTCGAAGGAACTTGATGGTCGATAGGAATGAACAACGTGGAAATTGCATCTTGTTTGTCGATAACTGCATTCACGGACATTCTCGCCCGACTTTTACTACCGACAATCTTCGACAGATTGGGATTCAAGAAGAGAACTGTGTTCTGGGTGTTTTGTATGCTAGTTGGCATTGGACGATCGAGTATGTGCTTGTTGTGCTCTTTACATATATACATTTTTTACAAGTAACATCAACTTGTGTTACGTCACGTCGGAATTGCTTGAAGAAATTTAAAAGAGAAAGGAAAAAAACTAATTTAAATAATTAAAAAAAAAGATACATCAGCTGTTGTTAATTGAATTAGGAAGATTTCTTTCTTATCTTCACATTTCTATATTGTTCGACATTGACAATACTCTGTGTGTAAGAAGTGTTCAAATCTTTCTCATTCGTTCGAATTTCTTTCAGTTATGGCAGAACAATCGAAAGGAATATTCCTGATAGTAACATTCGTGATAATAGGATTTTTACGAGGCGCCACTTTGGTAAATTTAAATCTCAGCGTTTCGGAATGTTGTTCCTTGAAGAAGCTTCCAAGTGCTTTTGGAATGTTTATGGTGTCTAAAGGTTTATTTGTTGTGATAATGAGTCCTTTAATTGGTACGTTTAAACGTGATACCTTTAAATGTAGTTATAAATTTAATAATATTAAGTTCAATCGTTGTTGCAAATTATTCGATGACGTAATAGGTTATTAAAACTCTATCTAAACGATAAGACACATTGAACTGTTTTCATTCGTTTTCAGGATATATCAGAGATAGTAGTAAAAGTTATACAATTTGCATACACGTTATGACATTTATGATAAGCATCACTTTCATTACGTGGAGTATCGAATTTATGTATCAGATGCTGGAAAAAAGAAGATCTGCTTTAGCCAAACAAGCACAGAACCAGGTAATAGAGTAAATATTATTTACCATTTAAGTTTCATAAAAATATTATGTACAAAGTTCGGCGAAACTTTATTTAACAAATCTAGAAATATTTATTATATGTCAAAAAGCCAATGAATATTATTTCACTTTATTATTTTTGTCCAATACCTGTCATCGTCGTGTCGTTTTTAACTGTTAGCTAAATGTTACTATTTAATGTGAAAAATTACGTTCATGTTCTAGTTAACTTATTACAATGTTTTCATAATATTGTTCGCGTTATGCGTATAAAAGAAAATTCACGAAGGCATAGATTCCTGTCATACTTTTTCCCAACAATAGTTCTCGATTTAGAAAAGATCATAATATAAATAGAAAAAATATACAACAGAAAGTTTCTATGTATAATTTGTTCTCAAACAAGTGCTGTTTACAATTTTTATTTTTTGCTATATTTCTTTTTCTGTGCAATTTTGTTAATAATAATCCAGTATTTATTTACGTGTGATGAAAAATAGATTTACAAAACAAATATATCATATTGAAAACACTTAACAAATGTGAATACTATTTAACCAAATATGGATGTATAATATTCAAGCATAAATATTCAACACACTGTGAAATGTTTATGAAAGTCATCTGTTCATGTAAAATGTTTAAGATGTATATTTTAAGTAAGATATGACAACTCGAATGTAGTCCAATTAAACGATAATTTAATTGACAATACATTTATTAAAGAAATTGTTAAATAATGTATTGGATGATAACAAAAATCGAAAACATCTTCATGTAACAATTTATTCTTTCAATATAACTTAATTTTAAAACATATTGAAAATAGAAAATGATCATGTTCATATTTATGATTGAAATTAAAAAGGACTTCTTTATATTCAAGTTTTCATACCTTAACATTTTCAAATACATATTTTCTAAGTATTTTCGAATTTTTGCTAATATCCTGTATAAAAACTTTAATTATATCTGTTGTTATGTATAATAAGCGAACCAACTGATATTTGTAACACATCAGACTTTTATTTATCTTTTGATTCTACTTTAAATACCTAAATGTTGCATAATGTTACAGAATGTCTCATTTAACACTGTTAATACTGTGTCATTTAAAGATCATGTTACTGATTCGTGTAATTTATTGAAACTTCAAGAATAGAATTGTCCCTTTAGATATTTAGTAAGATGCAACAGTCAAACTTACCTCTTTAATGTCTCATCAATTGTAGAATTAAAGATTTATTAAAACTATACAATGTAAATATTGTAGTCCAAATGATTATTAACAACAACATAATAATGATAGCGTTTAATGATTAGTTCATTGTGGTAAATAGCAAGGTATCTTGAAAGCAAATCTATCAGTAAAATGTAACATTTATATTTTCTATTAATTTCAAATTGTCTCACAAGTTAATGGTTTTACAGTTTGTACAAATATTATGACATTAATCATAAGTTGCAAAATATTGTTATTCTCATAATGACTTGTACCTGACATCTTATATGCATACGTAGGTACTTTTTAAAATGAAAACTAACAGAATTAAAAAGAATTACCGTTGTTGCTATAATATTGTAACTAAAATTCACCGTTGATGAAAATATGTGTATATAATAATGTAACTCTTAATTGCAATAAAAATTCGTGTCTGAAATATCCACAATGTTTTTTACTGATTTTTCACGTTTTGTTAAAGAAAAAGTTTTTAAAACATATTCAGACCAAAGTGTTATTTTTAATATAAATGAAACGAAATATTATTATTCATATATTAACAATAAATCGTAAATCGTACATAGAACTACACATGTAACACAAATCGTTTTTAATTTTAAATTCTAGAAGTTAACCTATATTTAGACGTACTTTCATTCTTGTTGTACAGTATCTGTAACATTTTATAAATAAATAAAGCGATATGTACGAATAAAATTTGTTGATCTCACAAGTAAAGTTAGCTGATACCCTATATTTCGTATTTTGCTTTATATTTTAAAACTTCGAACTCTTTATGGGCGAAGAAAGGATTAAAATTAAAGAAGTTAGGTGAGTAATATTTATAATATTAATTTTATATATCGTTCCAACAAGAAACATTCTTCATGTATCTACCTACGCATTAGAGATTACACCTTCGAGGTCGTTCAACTTTTATCTGAAACACTTCTCGATATTATCAGTTGATTGCAAAATATCATCGAACATCCTATACGACAAACGAAATTTCAGATTTCATTCTCTCGAAAACAAAGCCTTGAACAAAAATATTTTCTATATTTTCTTATGTCTTATTGCACCAGGAATTGCACTGTGTTTACACCATACTTCAATTTTCTACGCCGATCGTGCAAGAAAGCACGTAACCAGGCAGCTTCGATAATGTACGTAAATGAAGGGTCTGACGTTGACTGCCGAAGGTTTTTATCGGCCAACTTCTCTTCATTGGACCAGTCACGAGCAACCGCAACTTCGCTTGGACCATATGTATGTCGTTTCTTTTTGCATTTCGTTCGGGTTTCTTCGGCACAAAGGATGCCAGTGAAAAGTTCCTACATAGATGCATTGGACCAGAAGATACTGTGCTTTTCCAGTGAATAAAAGTGTACGGGAACGATATACTAACGGTGATCTGCTTAATGAAACGTGTTTTCTGTAGTGACGATGAATTAACTGCAAATTAAATAACAACGCAACCGGGCTGTTCTATCATAATGCAACGACCAACTTCGTTTTGAGAGAATTGTGAATGTTCTGTGAGTTTCTTGAGAATTTATTTTATATTTACGTAGATTGAACATCGTGACTATTTATTAATGGCAATATTTTATTCGAGCATGAGATACTTGTGATATTTGTATTTCGTGAATTCTGCTTGTTGAATAACGTGTTTTAAAATAAAGAAATTTATGAACTTGCCTATTCATGCTTTCTTTGTTTCTATCGACAGTTTCGTCGTTCACCTTATTTACATATTTTACGAAGAAAAATATTTTAATACATCTTCGATAAAATAATCTGATAATTTCTATTCTTCGTAATATTTTAATTAATTACTTTCCTTCAGTTTCTATATTCTATATTATTTTGATATAATATTTAACTTTAAAGTTAGGCTACGATTATATTAGATGTGTATTTAAAACCTTTATAAAATTTTTACAAATAAATGGTAGATGAAAACGAGAAAATAAAATGTTTTCTTTAAAAGAGGAAAATAGAGAATATCGTACTTCGTTTCAAGATCTGTTGAATCAACCAGATAAATCTCAGAGTATATCAGAATAAATTCTGAAACATTTTTTACATTCTACTTAAACGGAACTAAAAAAACACTAAACAATCATCATTCGTTCGAAAAATGTAGATCACATATCTTCAGTTGCAATAAATCAATCAAATTGATTTGAACGACCTGCGTATACGATATCAATATGTATACAGATTCTTATGAGTGTATCCATTGCAATCTTCAAAACATTTCATTTATCAGAACGTTATTTCGTTCGAATACGCATCCACTATACCACAATCTTAGGTGTATTGAGTACGTTAGAATTCGAGGAAAATTGATACGATGTTTAGAAATTTCTAAATAATTACAGCACAAATTAGTCAAGAACGTAAAATAGCAGATATAATGAAAATAAAAACTATTGAATTCTGAAAGATTAGTATATTTTTCTTGACAATTGGTAAGTAATCAAATTGACTTCATTTAAATATTATCATTTAGTGATAACGGAATTAGTTTATCACAAAGCAGATATTATAAGTTCGTGCACAGATAATAGTCACATTTTTGTAAATAATATGTTTAATAAATATGCTTAAATAATAGCAAATACCGCTTATTAGTCATTTTCTGTTAAGAATAATTTTTATTTCGCTCAATATTACCTGCGTCTTTTTTACTAATAATTCGAACAAATCAATTTTTTGTTATACAATTCACGAATGAAAATATATTTACAATTGTACATAATCTTATTATACATATACTACTATAGATACATATATTACGTAATCACGTTTGACGAGCGAACCAATGAATTCTTAAAATTTATATTAATTATTGAAATTTATATTAATTGTACAAGTTTTTATGTTACGCAATTGTTATGATAGATAAATTTTCCATTGGCACGTCAATTATTCATCTATATACAAAAATATTAATAACCTCTTCCCTCCATCCCATAATGCAATCTTTCTTCGTAAATGTTTTGATAACATCATGGATAAATTAGTGCGGGAATTATAAATATCAAATTGTAAATAATTTTATCAGAATCACGAGTATATTGCTATTAACGTCTGTTAACAAATATGTTATTGGTGCTATTTGATAAGTATTTCAAAATACGTTATTGCGTGTCAGTAGTAGCTACATTGTATACTATCCTGTAACCTAACCTAACCTTTGTAACAGTGTGAAACTTTCTTTTATCAGAAAAATATTAGATATAGTCGTGTGAATTTTCAAATTTTTCTTTTAATCATAGAAAGCATTCGAACTATTGACATAACGCCTCGTGATAACCAACATTATGATAATGCTAAAAGTCACTTCAAGATGTTACATTGTTTTTTTATCAATGAACATTGTTGCGTATCGTATCAAGAGTATACTTGTTCTTTGACAAGTATAAAAACATGTATAATTCTATCGATAATTTTTTCAAAATCGTCACTTCGAAGTAAAGAAAAAATTTGTTGTTTAACTTTTATGAAATAAAATCTAGTTTTATTCACAGATACTTGGTGGAAAATAGAACGTAACACTCAGGTACATTTTGCACTTTAACAAAAGTACTTCTGCACTATGCATGTATTTGGTATTGTACATTGTTGATAACATACAAAGTATTCCATTTGTAGTCAAGAAGGGAAGATTTACGGACATTTCACGTGCGGCAAACAAAGTAAAGCCAAGATTAAAGAAGAAGTAGAAGATAAAAGATACGTATGACACGCGTGGTTCTGGACTCTTACTAAAAAAATGATGTTAATACTAATTATCTCTGTGTACGTCGTACAATTAATTAGCGTACAGATGACGAACGAAGCTGTTGTCAATTAATATTAATATCACATAACATTAATGATTGCAATCACAGTATGAGATTAATGTTACACAAATTCGGAATATTCTCTGAGAAAGCGGTGTAGCAGCCATCTGTTTGTTGTGACGCGGATCCTAAGGAAAAGAGAGCAAGGGTATACTCAATACCGTTAGAAAAAGGGGGAGGTTTTCTCATGGACTACGAGAGTCAGGTCAACGGACAATTTTGTTTGAAATCGAAGAGTTCTTCTTTATCGTCACATACGACGGCAACAAGTCATAGAGAAATGAACCGTTGCATTTTAAAGCGAGTTTACATTTTCTTTATTAAATCACAACGATTTCGCTGGTGGGAATCTTTGTTCGCGCGTTTAGTTGCTCAAACACACCGGCTGGATTTGATTTTTCGACGAAGCTGTAACGATAGAATCATAAACAATTCTGTTACATGTGTCTGCGTGGGCGTATACGTTGAACACTTATCCAGAGACTAGCGCATATCTTATCATTTGCCCAATCCCGTCGTTTTATTTGGTTGACACATTAACTTTGCAGTCTGCGATCAGCTCCAAGGCAAGACGAAGGAGCGAAAGAAGCGCCGCGGTGCCGTCGTCATTCCCTCAGAAATTGTGCGTGAAGTGGAAGTGGATGTTGTGGATACCCCATTGTGATCGATAAAATGTCACGTGGCGAGACTGACAGAGGCTGGGCCTGGATGATCGTCGTCGGCGTGACAATCATTAATGTGAGTTTTCAGGAGTATATTCGCTAATTTCACTCGTGTCGAACGACTATCGGGCATATTGAGCTCGTGTGTCCTCCATTTATCTTCGTGCTACTATAGATATCACCATGCTTGGTGGCGCACGTGCCATCGCTCACTGCATTGTATTGTTTAAATCGATATTTTATTTAATGTTTAATTAATCAATACTTAACGTGATTGCGAATATATCAAGATTAAAAACGAAATAATTGTTTTGAATTGTTTGTAAAATTCGTAAAAATCGTTGATTTTAGACCTGCTGGAATCCCTCATAAGTTCTTCTCTTAATTATTGCTCGGTCATATAGACAAGATTTATTGTAAACAGAGCGGGAACAATCGTTGAATTCCCTGAAGTTTATCTAGACTGATAGAATTGAAACCATAAACACTCCTCTTTTATTATACCAGAAAACACACGTATATACTCAATCTTACGAAATACATATGTTTGTTTCAGCTGTCGATACTTCCGATACAACAATGCTTCGGTCTAATCTTCCGAGAGCGTTTCTTTTCACTCGGTATCACCGCCACGCAGACGTCGTTAATTCTTCATTTGTGTGGAACGATCACGTGCAGCCTGGGCCTGATAAGCGGGCCAATGATGAAGAGATTCACATTCAGAAAGGTCGCTTTTCTCGGGGGGTTCACTGCCGCCATTGGCGTCTGTATGACTGCCTTTGCAGTCTCTCTTCCCTCTATTATTTTGACTTACTGCGTTATCGTTGGTGAGCCACACACGCACGTCGTGTTTTTCTTCCTCCTTCTCTTCGTTTTTGTAGATCCGAAATTTAGTGGAAAAATGACGTACTTTGTAGGTATTGGACACGGAATCATGTTTCCAGCTACGAGTCTCGCAATGAACTCCTACTTTCGGAAAAAACGAAACGTTGCTATGGGACTTTCAGTAACATTGACTGGTCTAGGACCGATTTTGATGCCTCTTCTGATAGCGATACTATTGGAGAATTACGCCACTACTGGAACCTTGTTAATCCTTGCTGGTATAGCAGCGCATTCATTAGTAGGAGCGTCGTTGTTGAAACCGTTTAAGGAGAAAGAAGTGAGTTAAAGACTCGTTGGTAAAATAATGAAGGAAACATGCAATATTTTCTGGTAACAGTTGATCACATTCATTTTACAATTGACAAGATACTTCTGTTTACACGTGTCTGTCGTGGTTCGTTGCCTTCTCAAAATTCCAAAGATGAATCAAGGATTAGTGCTCACAGTCAGATTTCATTCCTAATAGATTACAAGTATAACAAAGGACAATGACATCATCCCATCTTCCGCAGAATTAAAAATCGAGAACGAAAGCAGTGATAAAAATGACGCCGTTCATTGTCGATTATTGAACGCTGAATCGGAACGAGAGATGAAAAAGTCTGAACAGTATCCATCGGAGGATACGAAGCTTGAAAGTACGAAAGAGGAGAAAAGGTCGGCTTTGGCAAACCTTTCGGAGAATTTGGACCTTGCTCTTTTAAAGGATAGTCGTTATGTCGCTATTATATTAGGTAATATTGCTTATAAGCATTATTTTAAATCATAAGAATTTTGAATAATAATATACTGAATTATGAAATTTTCTATGAACAAACGTTATTCTACATTTGCTATCTTTTATTTGCTAAATTCGATTTGTAACAGGTATGGGAGTATCACTGGTCGCCGAAACAAACTTCAACGCGATGATTCCTTTTGTCCTGACCGAGCTTTCCGGACTCGAAAGGACTTCGATCGCGACGATAATGTCGATCCAAGCCGTATCTGACATCACCGGACGGCTCTGCGTTCCATTTCTCGCGCAGAAAGCTGGCTGGACGTCCAGAAATCTTTACGCGATGTCTTTGCTAGGATCCACTCTTGGAAGGACCAGTACGTACAGCAACGTAAAATATTCGAATGTCAGAAATCGATCCCTTCACGGCAACGAATATACTTGATCTGCTGGGTGGGTGGAGTTCAGCTTTATGGTAATTGGCCTTTAACAGATCCAACGAGAGTGACAAACATGAACGAATGTTTTCTTTTTCTTTGCGTTCTTATCGAATCTCCTCGAATATATGACGAACAGAAATTGTGAAATAATTAAACAAAAGTGAAATGCGTTGAACATATGTTATGTTACGAGTGATCTAATGAGATTTCGTTATTATTATTACTTTATGGGTGTAAACTTTTGCGTGACATAAGTTTGAATTCGAAATTAAAGTTTTCTAATTTTTCTTTTGGTATTTCTGTGAGATGGACGGTTAATGTAGAAAATTGTTAATAGCGTTTTGCGTGAAAAAATGTAACTAAACATTGTCAATTTCAGTATTATCCACTTGGGGAAACACCTACATCGTGGTAATTTGTGTTGCATTAATTATTGGTGTTGCAAAAGGAACGAAAGCTGTCTTCCAGGCGTTGATAATACCTGATTATGTGCCTCTTGAAAGATTGCCAGCTGCTTCTGGCATGCAAATGGTCTGCAACGGTATACTATCGATTACGATAGGTCCCATCATAGGTAATTGTTCAATTCTGTTGTTTTTAGCTTGTTTTTAGAGATACAAAAAAGGCAATTGTTCAAAAATTCTTTTTGGGAAACAAATATTTTTAATGTTTTCGTCGAAACATTTAGGTACCTAGTAGTACCTACTTACTAAATGCCTAATCAACATAGATCTACAATTCCAAAAGAAATATAAGCTCTTCATTACATTTATTAAGATTGATTGATATTATACCTACATGTACTTATCTTTAAGGTTTAGTACACGATACGACGAAGAGTTACGTAGGCGCCCTTCATTTCACGTCGATCTTAAGTCTTTCCTGTGTTGTTTTATGGTACATCGGAGGGCTTTGGCAATTTAAGAAAAGTTCTGGAAACTTAGATACGAAAAAGGAAGCGATCGAAATAGAAAGAGATGCCTTAGAATGCAATGCATAAGTAATCGTTAATTAAAATTTTGTTAATTGTTAACAAGAATTGTTTACGCGAGAACAGGCTCAAAACTTAAAGTACTACACAAAATACACTACGCCACAAAATTAAAGGTTTGCTCAATTTCGACCGACAAATGGTCAATATTTGAATTGCTGTAATTTCGTGAAAAAAAATCTTAAATCAGTCTACCTGGGCTTATTTCAAAGGGTGAAGCCTCTGCTTTCACACCCTTGAACGTAATTTTTTCAAAGACCATTTTTTGTTATAAAACGGAGTGCGAAACTGAAGTTGCCTTTTTCTTTTCAAATTTTACAAATTCCAACGACTGTAGAGTTCAAAAAATTTTTTTCCAGATTCGTTTTAAAATGTCTTTGTAAAGGAAAGTCTCCCATTTATAATGATCTATAAAAAGTTGATGTACGATTTTTTGTCGACGTTTTATCACACTTTAAATGAAAAGTGTGCCGCCGACATTGGAATAAACCAAGATACACCACGAGGAGATGTGGTTAGAGCGTGTGTAGTGTGTGTTTTTAGTGTGCGTGTGTTACAATTTTTTTTCACGAAGTTACAGCGTTCAAATACCGACAATTTTTCGGTCAAAATTTAGCGATCGTTTAATTTTGTGACGTAGTGTATTATTAATAATAAATATAAAATTAAAATAATATTGTAAGAATTGAAAGGAAATTCTATTAACATTACTTTATATATCGAGCAGCAGTACTATAGATCAAACTAATTTTAACAGATCCCTATATAATGTCACAAAAGTTTGACAATGTATAATACTTGTAAAATATACTTTTGTAATATACTATAATACCTAATAATAATATCCCAGTATTTTGTAAAGTATTATAAGGAGTTAACTGGTAAAAAAAAAATGTTGTATTTTACTGCAATATTGTATATTGTACAGAAGTATGAATATTAAAAATACACGATATTTCTTACATTCCTTGTTTCATTTTCCTCTTGAAAAAATTACAAAAATCAAAACGTTATCAGAAATCGCAAATGGTGCAGCGTGTCCACGCGCATTGGCTGCAGCTTTCTTTTCTACTTCTAGGTGAAGATGCAAGAACCTGTATCTGCCGTGGCAAACTGGTATTTTGCCAACTAGTAATCGAACGAAACGATGCTCCAATAATCCGTGGCTATCTAACTAACGGAATAGTGGAGTATAATACCATTACTTTAAGGCTATCGATGCTATTGAATAGTAAATGAAAAAACTTTGAATTTTATTTTCTATTCATAGCACACCGCGGTGTTTATCAGCGAACACATTGAAATCGAATAGTTGTTCTTGGTTTCATTGTAACGTGTATAACAGAGGTAACAAATGACTTGTATACCCTTGGTGTCTGCCTCGCACCAAAGTAAGAAAATTCAGTGAAAGAGACTCCTAGTGACAGTGGTTTCGAGGTCAGTGGAACGTGCGGAAAGTTTCGATGGAAGCGTTAAACAGCAGTTGCGACCATGTCTCGTCGGTTTTTTCTTTTGTAAATAAACCGAAAGCAGCGGTCGTGAAATAAAAGAAGATCGATCCTTTTTCCGGAATCTTTACTGAGAAACTATAGATACCGATACTTCGTCACTGAACTAAATATTAGTTCACTTTTACTGCGATAAGTGTTACTTAATCTGTAACAGAACAGCTTCCTATTACTTTACCTATAATCACGAGTCACCGTGAGTTCGCATAAAATTAAAAAATAAGAAAATAAACAATTACTCGATGTACTATTTAATTCAATAAAGAATAGATTACTAGTTCATTTGTTTTTTCTCGCTTATCGTACTCAATTAACAAATGTCTCAAAGCAAACTATATTTGTCAAGTAGGTTAAACTAAAAAAAACCCTTTTTTCCCAAAAAGCATATATTAACACCGTTCCATAGGATCACATTTCTCTACATCATTTGGACCCAGAGGAAAACTAATTCTTTTCCGTTCTATTACACATGTTTGCAGCGAGAAACGAATTAGTTTCAAACCGAGAAATTCTATTTTCAATTTTACACGACGAATAAGAGAAACCTCCAACCTGGAAGTAAGGTTTCGGTAGAAAAAAAAAGTGGGGATTAGAAACTCGAGCAACGAGATCCATACTTTCATCGCGGCCCAAAATATAATGCTAACGAAAGAAGCGTGTGTGTGTGTGTAAGATCCTACGGGAAAAAGGAAGAGGGGAAAAAGGTGGCTGGACTGGGCCAGAGAGGTGTTGGCGCATCGGATCCTCGAATAATATTGCTATTACAGGCGGTATTCCCCGTACTGTTAGCCACCTTTCTCCTAATCGAGCGAGCAAGAGGCTCGGAGGGTCCTTGCTACGACACTGCTGGGCCCCGTGACACACATCAATGGGCCGAAATGTAACGGTACCATTCGCGGTGGCCTACTTTCCGTCAGCTCACCGCGCTCTCTCTTCCCCGTTCCTTCCTCCTTTCTTCATGGCTGGTCGCGTGCTTTCTTTCTCTCTGCTACGTCGGTTCTCGGTCATGCAAGCGCACAACCACGTACTCTTACGTACATATCTCTCTCCTCCTGGTTACTGGACTTTTACCCAGCGCGAACTCCCGGTCTGTTGTACGCGACGCCGGCTGATTATTACACGGTCAGTAATGAAAGCGTCCTCTTCGCGCGCAGAGGTACCACTGTCATGTAGCCGCGTACGACCGCCTCTCCTCGTACCACCCTTTTTTTACACTGGCGAGCAAGCCTGTCCAGTGAAAAGAAACCGCCTGTACCTAACCGTGAAACGCGAGTTATGAATGTGATCGTGCAACTTGTCCTCCAGGTGAGCGATACCTCGTTGAGTTAGGCTACTCTATCCGCGACAGTATTTTGGTACTAGAGATCTTCTTCGATTTGGATAAGGCGAAAGTTTTGGGGAACCTGGCGATAAGCAAGCGAGTGTTTTTTTTTTGTTTTTTAAGTAAAGCAATAGTATCAACGAAGTTTGCAACTTTGGAAATTCAAAAATGCGCAGAAGCAAGCGAGTGTCTTCTTTTTTAAATAAATCAAAGCAGTAGGTTTGTGTGGGAAGAAATGATCGAAATCACACGATCTATAATATATTTATGAAAGCACTGTTAGGTAGGTGTCGCGACAACGCTGACGGACAAGTGTCAAACGTTGATTAAGAGAGTAAGCTTGTCTTCGTCGAATTTCCGGTAATCGATGGTTCACAGAGTGTATTACAGTTCTGTCGTTGTGTTTGAAAAATGTCGAACATGGTGCGTTTGTGGCTGACGGAGATATTGTTGGAGAAATGAAGGTATATCGATTTGATGTTGGTGCAGGTGATCACGTATGAGCTCGTAAGATGCCAAGGAAGTGGTGGACCAAGCACTTTCGGATATGACGCGTCCTCAGCTTGCAGTAAACCGTATTCTCGTGCTGGCCGTGCACGATTAGCGAACCTTCCTTGCGATTTTCGACGACAAAACTGGTGCACGATAGCTGGCAGTTCTTATCCCTGGTAAATGGACTAAATTGTCGGGAAAAAGAGTGTTTTAAGAAGAGAAATTCATATCAGGATAACGTTGATTTCTTTGATATGTTAATCCTTGAATTTCAGGCACGCTGTTCGTCGTTTCGTACAGGAGAATCAAGGATTAATGAGACGTATGTACGGAGACGAAAGACATATTAATATATTAAGAGCGGAATTCGAGAAAAATGATATCGAATTAAAGTATGACGAATATTATCATCAATTTTCCGATGATCATAAGTAAGTTTTTCAAGTGAAATATGTAACATTGCTTATTCTCTAAGTTACAAATATCTATCTTTGTTCGTTTTACTACGATTAACGTTCGCGATACTTTACATTAACTTTTTACGGTTAATTCTTCGTTCATCAGTATTTAGAACACAATAGTTTATTTTTTATTGTACAATTTTGCCTGCGTTAAATATAAAATACAACAATTAGTCAGTTTTAATTATAAACTACAAAGCTTCCATTTCTGTTCGAGAAGTGAATGCAATTAACAGCTCAATAATCGACAAAAACGATTCTTCAGGAGATATCAATACACGCACGATTACGAGTACTTCGACAGAGAAGAGGAGGGTTTAAGAGTAAACGGGCACGAGTTCGAGGGACGAAGCTTCACCAGCAGATCGTTCAACGACAATTCCGTGAAACGTTTGAGCAAATTTCCAAAATTGAGCGAATACACCCGACCTCATTTCCGACCGACCGAGAAATCCACTACTTCAACGTCCACGACCACAGCAACGTCTAGCACAGCATCGACGACCACCCCTGTCTCTACCACAGAAACGGTATCACCGACGATCGCCTCGACAATTCGCGAATCTATCACAAAATCCACCCCGTCGACCACGATTTCAACGGACAACACGAAGGAGGAGAAACGGGAGAACCCGGCTGAAGAAGTGACAATGTTCACAACAGTGACGAATTCTTACGCGACGAAGGATCAGAATTTCAGCATCAACGAAATCCCGGAGCAGACAGACAGAATCGACGAGGAGCAAGAGGAGGAGGCGATTAGGGTGATCGCGGAGGTCTCCGAGATAAACGTGGACGAGACGTCGACAGTGAGTTTTCCAGCCACTACTGAACTACCGCCACCGGTTCAACTGGACAGCAACGAGGACCTGTTTGCCACGCCGAAAGAAACGACCGTTCAAGAGGAGGCGTCCAGCTCGAGCGAGCAGCAGGAGTTCAGGCCGCGACCGGAATATCGGCCCTCGAATAAGCCGGAAGCTTCGACTATAGAAGGCCAGCTGTATCAGGACGTCGCCGCGAAAGATCAACAGGAACAACCGGTTCTCAAGCTTCGAGGAGTGTAAGTGTTCCTTCCTTTTATTTCTATCGATTATCGATCCTCCTAGGGTATTTCACTTTTATCCAGACAGCTCTTCTTAACCCTCGAGCAAACGAATAACGGCGATAGTTGCATGCACAACGGACTCCGGGTCAAATATGACCCGAGCGAAAGCATATCTTTGGGATTTACTAGGCGTTATATTGTTTCAAATTTTATACAAACGTATTTGTAATATAAGAAATGGGAGAGTCGTGACTCTGTTTCGAATTTCGGTGTGAAACGAGAGACTTCAATGCCGGGTCAGCGGTGACTCTATAATCTCTGTGCAATTAACTAATGTTAATCCAGAAACGTCGTAGTAGCTAGTAACATAGACGAATAAGTTGGTAAATTGGTCACAACTCCTACTAAGTCAAAAATAATATAAAAAAGAAAACGATATTTTAGTAATGCTTGCCCCGTGAAAGAGGAAGTAGTGGCGCCATTTTGGGCGAACAACACCAGAGGAGAGGTACTGGCACTTTTGAATCTCTATCCTTTCGAGCAATACGTTCACTGGGAAAAATGCACGTAAGTATCTCAAATTTTCCTATTTTCTCTCCTTTTGAATTTAAACGAGACTTTTTAAGTCTTTCTCGTTAAGTAGCAGAAAATCTTTATTTCCAATTTTCTTTACCGAAAGACACGAGAACAAGCAGATGTACTGTCGAGATGGATGCAGATGCGAGCAACAATATAGACTTCATCGATTGTTAGCCTACGATCCGAACAACGAGTGTCGCGGTATCTTCAGCGATTGGTTCAAATTTCCAAGCTGTTGCGTCTGTCGTTGCTACGATTTACCTCTCGAATTTCGCGTAACCTCTCGCTCTCCCCGTACTCAGAAACAACGTATCAAAGTACGACCACCTAGGACTCGTTACACGTAAGGAATGAAAGGTTTCGTTGTTTTAAACGAACTTTAGCGACAATTCTCTCCTCGGTTTCATTCTTGCTTACTCTACGTATATAAATCTATTTAAGGCACACTTGTTGAACATCCTGTAAATAATTGAATTAACGTTAAAATAGTTGAAATGCTTCGTATATCACAGAGAGTAGTATATATACTTGAAACTAGAATCGAAGGATTTCGATGTTGCACACTCTGAATGGAAATTTGGAAATTATCTCACGAAGATCATTAACGGCTTCAGCCTAGTCAAACAAATTTAGTCTTTGTTATCGCGTTATTTATACTACAAGAATGAAATTCGCCCGCCATTTACCACAGCGTTTTAGTTGTACACTAAATACTCGGAGTGCAGTTTGTAAATATTAACAACAATATGCGAACAAATATATAATCCATATATTATTATTTATTTCAATTGTTTGTTTGTTTGTTTTTTTACAGTAAACCGGTGCCTCGATTGTTATAAATATCGTAGATATATTGCATTGTTATGTATATAACATTGAGGAAATAAACCACTTGATAATTATTAAGAATTCAACGTACGTGTACCGAAGTAATTTTTACACTTGCTCAAAGTGTTTTTATTAAACATTCGCTGCAAGTAATCGTAAAAGAATAAGGCTCGTGAATAAAATTGTATAAGCCATGTTTTTTTTGTTACGTTTACCCTTAATTAATCTTGTTTAATCAATGTTATATAATATTCGAATTATCTGCAATTGCAACACACGTATGAAACGTTGGTAATGGAACAGTACTTGTTTTCTAATATTACCCGTAACGATAATGTTTCTAAGAGTATAACTATTTATTTACAAGAACGTGAATTTCTATAATGTCTGTATTTGCATGTTTTATACCAAAAAAAAAGAAGAAAAAAGAAGAAAGAAAAATTGATGTCGAAACATATTCCATTCGTTGACTTTGTAAGCATCGTTATATATGTATGTATGGACGTTAATTTATAATAAAAAATAAATGTATTACAATCACAAGGAATTCAAATTTAATTAAACCCTGCAATCATTGTGCAATTTCAATTTCACTATGATTTTCCCTTCACCTTTTCTTTTATAAATAATTTTTCCCCCCCTTTGGTTCATTTTTTTACAGGAGTATATTTCATTTCAAAGGATAAACGAACTTTTTCTTAAATTTTTAATACGACAAAATAGTGCGATAGATTTAAGTTAAGATTAAGTAAAAATTGCAACATGATACATATTTGGGTCTCAAGATGATAATTTCATTTCATTTCAGAATTTGACTATAATAGTGATCGTAATAATCATTGCAGTTACTATATTTCTTATTTTTGATATTTTGACAATTATTCCAATTGTAATTCTAATTTTTATTTGTTTCACATTTTTTAAAATTTTGAATCCTTATTTTTCAATTTTCAAGTGGCGAATTGAAGAAGATGGATGCAATTGCACTCAATGAAAATGTAGAACGATCGTTCGTTCTTCAACAGCAAAACCCATTTTATTTTCGTTACAATCGATTTTATTTTCTCATTTTCCTACATAAGACAACTTGTACGTTTTACAAGAAAGAAGAAGACTTACAAACAATAACGAACGTCAATACGTTAATACTTGATGGGCAATCGCGTGTTGCGTTAACAGCAATATCGACATACCCCTTATATCGTACATATTAATCAGTGTCACATATACATATATATTATAATATTACAAAGATCGTGTTATCCGTGTCTCGTTTGCGAATATATGTATGTACATATCATATAGCGTGCGCGTGCACACATACACGCACGCAAAAGAAAGGAAGAGGGAATCGGATCGTACAATATTTCTTCTCATTGTTAGTGCAAAAGAATTCTACGATCAGTGATAAAATTAGTCACGCGAACAGCAAATAGAACATATTTCCCTGATTATAACGTTACAGAAAACCAATCACATATTACACCGTCCAAATTTCTATCGCTCTTTTTTCTTCCATCGTTCCCAACCGTTGTCACTTTTATTGTTACTCGAAAAGGTGTATCGTGCAAATTACCGGTGTTAATAGCGACGACGAATTCAGTTACATTCATATGTACAAACTTACAAGGAGATACACGACCAAATTAAAGCTCACTGTTGACTACTATCGAGAAAAGAAGAAGAGATTTTGCCCAATGCCCCACCTCGTTTATTATAAGTATAAAATAGTTTCTATTTGAAGTAGTTTGTGGTGGACCAAAATGGCGTCCGAGTGAAAAACGACCCCAGTGTGCGCTGAAATTAATCGACACTGGTGCACATTCTGTTCTTACGATCGGTAAAATATTTCAAAAATTATTCTCACTGGTCGCGAAAGTAAAAATATTCTAATTGTATCAGTATACATTTTACACGTAGATCTGATGAAAAATAGCGGTGGTTGCTGTAGAAAGTATGTTCGGGGCAGTCAACGCATGGCAGGAATAGACTCAAGAAGACGATGTTCTTTTTTTTTTTTTTTCTATGGAAACTCTAAAATTGGATATTTGGAACACGTATTACGTTACATTTGCGGACTATGAATATTGAGTTAGTAATTCTATTGAAAAGTTAGAGCGAAATATCTTTCTTTTTGAACAGGTGAAATCAACGTGTGCTATATTTGCTTCTTAAGTTAATTGAAAATCGTGTCAATTCGTAAATGTAAAATTTACGAACTGACGATTCTCTAGAAATTCTAGATTTATTTTTGAAAAATTGCCAAGGAAGCAGTGTGTTTATTCTATTGAAAATTGAGTTTGTTCCGTCGCATTCAAGGTTTCCTAATTTCAAGAAAAATCCCATAAAAATCCTGTCAATTCGTAAATGTAAAATTTACGAACTGACGATTCTCTGAAAATGCTAGATTGATTTTTTCAACAATCGCCAAAAAGTGTATTTATTCTGTTGAAAGTTGAGTTCGTTCCGTTGCATTCAAGATTTCCTAATTCCGGTAAAAATCCCATAAAAATTCTCGTGAGCCGCTGTTCTCGGTGAATTGATCGAATCACGTTGCAATTCTATGGCAAAAATGTGTCGTCCCTGGTTTAACGTCAAACATGATCGGTATATGCACCAATTGGTATAAAAAATATTTGCATCTCGGTACGATCACAAATTTCATGCTGCTCACATGTGTCGATATATATGTATATGTATATTGATCACAGATTATGAAATATCCTATCCGTTCGATTTTCGATAACGGAGAAACGCTACAATCGTATCCATATACCTGCACTACACTGTTAGTTCATTTTATCGAGCGCGATAAAAATATTCTACCAATAATAATACACGCATTCACTGTTCAAACTTCTCGCACTGGTGGGAAAAAAGAAAAAGCAAAAAAAAACGATACTTGCAGGATTTATACAAATATACATTATGCGGCATTATCTTCATTTTTTTTCTTTTTTATCGAATAACGTAACTAATGGACGTGTTTATTACAATCTTCGAGAAATATTCGAATATTCATTAATTGCAAAAAAACAAAAAAAAAAAAACAAAAAAAAACATTACAACTAACGATAAATCCCCTTTTTGTTTCATTACAGTGTACGTTACCACAACCTGTAGTAAATAATATACAAAATAACGATTTTGAACATGCTGGATAATTGCTGAGAAAACAAGAAAACACGTGTTCTGCAAATAAACGGTACCAGTTTATTGCTGACTATGTAAAGGTTTTTAACTATAAATAATAAATAGTCTAAGAAATAATAACTTAAATAAAGGACACTATGTGTATAAACAAGTTTTTTTGATGTTCATGTGTTGTGGAAGCATGCTTAAAATTCTGCGCTGCCGATCGAAATTAAAACGATTTCTAAGGCTCATATTTCAAGTAATACGAAAACTTTCTCTTTATACAATACATAATAATACATTACGCACAAATATACTACATATGTATATATAATACATTTATAAAACATAATGTTGTTATCACTTTAACATTTCTTAAAACGATGCTGTTCAAATGATATTGTTATATCGATACAAAAGCTTTAACAAAAAAAAAAAAAAAGAAAAAAGAAAAAGAAACGATTCATTTACAATCGAAATTCTTGACAATCGTCATTTTTTTTTACAAAACAATTTTCCCACCTTAATGAAAAACAATTTTCTATCATTTTCGGTAAATATTTAACCTTCCTCGTGCACCGTGTTCGAAAATTCTAACTCTCCGCGACGAGAAAATTAAATAAATACTCTGGCAGTGAATGCGTTTACAAATGAACGCTACAGCCCTATATACTCTGATTTCTTTACTCGCAAAATGAAAATTCTGTCAACCTATGGAGTAAGTGTGTTTTCAAACTCTGTTTCCAACAACACAAAGTGTTAACGATCGATTGTTCGATAAATCAATCTGAATAAATCTCGATACGCTCTTCTTAGTGACTATGCAATTCCATTTTAGTAGTGCACTCTGTATATGTAAAGGTGATTATCAAAAACTCTAAGATTTATTGTTATTACATCAACCATTTCGACAAATAATTTTTTTTTTTTGTTCTGTTATACCATTGTTAAATTCTTCTGATATGAATGTTTCACTGTTCTCGTTCGAGAAATTCCATTCGTTCGAAGTTTTCGCGCAATGGAAACCCATCAATCGTACGGTAATTCTTAGGTATTGTATAATTCTATAAATACGTAAAATTGGCGAAAGAAAAGAGATTTCATGGTACTGCCATAAAATATTCGATACTTCTCGCTGACAAAATACTTGAATCTGATTTATCTATGCTCGCAACACTGTGTCACATCTGCATTTATGTATTACCTATCATACTGTTCTTTAGTTGAAGGATGAATAAGCTTCATAGTCGATGAGGTATATTATATCCTGATTCAGAGACGGTTCCAATAAGGAGAGACGAACAGAACACCCTGTATATACTCACTTTATAAGATTCTACGTTGTTATAGAGACAAAACACAAAGGAAGCACCGCAACGTTTTT